TCTTGGATCGCTTTCTATTTCACGCGAACCTTTGACCCTACCAAATAGCTTATGAAGCTAACACTAGCAAGCAGCTAAAATCACATGACCCACTTTCTCCATTTTATACCCATCCTTCAGATAACCCAGGTGTCCACATTATAAGCATACTGCTAAAAGGAGAAACTAATTACGAAATTTGGGCGAAGGCTATGAAAAATGCGTTAGATGCAAAGAATAAGTTGGGGTTCATAGATGAAGAAGTGACAAAGCCTGATGACCTGACATCTCAGGAAGGACACTCATGGAGGATATGTAACTCTATAGTAAGTGGACGGATTCATAATGCTATTGATCCTCAGCTTCAACCATACATTCCTTATTCAGTGGAGAACTCACCCTGAACTTATCAACTCAAATGCAGTCTAGCCACTTTCAAACAAGAAGGCTCAACAGTGGGAACTTACTACACCAAACTAAGAGCTGTTTAGGATGAATTAGATGTTGTTGCCTCAAAAGTGATGTGCTCCAACGGATAAAATGTCAGGTGTTGAAACGTGTTGTAAACGAAATGGCTAAAGACCGTGTGTACCAGTTTCTTATGGGGTTGGACAACGATATTTTTAGCAATTTGCGCACTCAAATTCTAAATCAATCACCTCTCCCATCCCTCAACAAAGTGTATGGCATGGTCGTTCAGGAAGAAACTGACAAACCCATAGCTCGTTGCCATTCAGATTGGGTTGATGTCGTGTGCTATGCAGTGCAGTCAACCAACCGTAAGCCTATGAGATCTTCCCGCGCTTTTCGTGACTATTTTGACAAAGGACGCAAACGGGCACCGTGAAAACATTGCGGACGTACAAACCACGATGTATCAAAGTATTATGTCCTACATGGCTACCCAAATAAAGATGTTAGAGGACGAAGCTATTCCAAGCCAGACATATGACGTGGATCACAAGCAAATGTTGCTGCCATGGATCAAAATAGACATAAGGATGTTGGAAGCAAATATCCAGAACTTACACCAAAGTTCTTTCAACAGTTGATTACTCTAGTAGAAAACTATAAATCTAGTACTGAAAAGATGACTGGTAAGACCAATACTTCTTCTAAATGGCTTGTGGATAGTGGGGAGTCCCATCACATGACAGGGAGGCTAGAATTTTTATTTGATGTTAAACCAATTTCTCCTTCTCCGATAACTTTGCCTGATGGATAACAAACATGTGTTGTTGAATGTGGAAGAGTGAAACTTGGGGCTCAATTTGTTCTTGAAAATGTGTTATTTGTGCCCAAACTTACCTGTAACTTAATTTCAGTATCTCAGCTACTTCGTTACAAAAACTGGTGAATGTTCTTTACTGATAAAAGTTGCATTATGCAGGACCTAAGCTTGAGGAAGACGACTAGACTAGGTAAAGAACAACGAGGGTGTATATTCATGAAGCCCATGCCCCACGAATATTTGATGTTTGAAGTTCATCATCCTCAGAATTATGGCATAAGAGATTGAGGCATCCTTCTTTTCAATGTATTTTGTTTTTATCATTTGTATTCAAACCTACTACTGATCAGTTTACTAAAGTTTGTGAAGCTACCCATGTTGGACAGATGAAGCAATTCATGTTGTTATTAAATGCCTCCTTATAATTAGAGCTATTAAAATTATAATGATTTTCCAGGTACCCTCGAAGGTTTGGTACCCATACATTTTTTACCTCTAAATTATATATACAAAATTCGTACAATAGTTACCCAATAGATAATATGTGAAACAAAACTTCTGAGTGTTATCAAGGGAAATGATTATGTAAAGAACCAATTCAACCCAAAAGCTTAAGGCTACATTAATGATTTTATACTTCTCTAACACGCCCCCTCATATGAGAGCCCACTGAGCTAGAATGGTGGATAACGCACTTACCACCCACCTGTAGAAAGAAATTCCACAAGAGAAAGTAGGGGGACGGTGAGGATCGAACTCGTGACATCGAAACTCTGATACTAGGAAAACATTTCCAAAATGAAGCAGACCAGCCACGAACACCATCAGTCAGTCCTATGTAATATACCAAAAGTGGAGCATACACACGTGATGCAGCGTAGGTCCCACTTACTCACACATGAATAATACACCTTTTCTTTCGACTAAAAGCTCATCCTTCTATCCGCGTGGCTCAGCCTTTTCCTACGATCCGCACTCTTTCCCCCCCTCCCCATCGCAATCCAAACATAGTAACCACAACAATTATTAAATATGATATTTTTTTTACACCACAAAAAAATAAAATAAAGAGTGTGCATGGCAGCCTTTCCGAAATTATTTTTTTTAATTTTTATTTTCGGGAAGAGAAATGAATAGAAAACTCGTTTGATTAAATCGGTTTATTTTATTTTTCTGGATGAGCCGATTTAATTTTTGTATTGAGAAACAAAAAAAAAAGAATAAAAGAATTTTTGCCTTTTTATTCTCAAGCATAAAATAAGAAATGCTTGTCTTTCTCAATCACTCTTCATCACTACCCTCACCGACACCATCATCATCGTAATCACTACCCTCACTATCACCATGTCATCGCCACCACCACCACAATTATATTATTTGTTTATTATTAAACGCAATTCTCAAAATAAAAATAGAACATATTATCAAACACATTTTTTTTTCTCAAAAACTATTTCAAGGCATAAAACTAGAAAAGAATTATTTTTTTTCAAAAAAAATGCTATGAAATAAAATGGTTGTCATGCACAGTGGTGGACCCAGAAAAAAAAATTAATGTCCGCACATTTAGTGGTGGGGGTTCGGCCCCCGAATTTTTTTTTGTAAAGAAAGTTTAAATCAACGCTTGAACCCGCTCATAATCTAGTTGCTTCTATAGCAAGCTGCAGACAGTAGTTTGACCAATTATTTCCCCCCCTAAATCTTACCAATCCTTCAAAACAAATATGAGAATATATTCCATTACATCCATACATCATCATTCTATTTTATAGTGGTGAATAAAAAAGTCAACACTACTCATACAGAAGGCAAGCAAAATCACAGTGAAGGTCTCGTCTCTAGATATTAACTTATTTGAGAATGTCAAACCTGAAATCAATTCTCTCTTTTTATAAAAATGAAAAAGGGAACAAATGATGAAGAGAGCATGGGAATGGGTACGTGACAGGGGAGGAAGAATAAGTTTTCTCTCTAATCAATTTGCATTGCTACGTTGTTTTAATCATCTCCGTACGTTGCTACGTTGCTAACTAATATAAGAATAAATATATTTTTTGGTCCCTAACAAAAAATTTGGTCCCCACTTTAGTCCATTATAAAAAAAAAATTAGTCATCTAATCCTATGAAATTCAAAGTGGATCCATTTTGATCTTTTTGAGGGACTAATGTAAGTCTTTTTTGAATTTGTGAGGGATCACAATTTTAACTAAATTGAGCCACTTTAAATTTTTTATGGACCTCGAGACTAATTTTTTTTTGTAAGGTACTAAAATGGGAAACATATTTTTTGTTAGGGACTTAAAAAAATATTTACTCCTAATATATATATTGAACCAAGAGACAAATAAAAAATCTGCCACCAAGAAAAAAAAATTGAAATAAAAATTTTTATGTCCACACTTGCGGGCATTTGTCCGCCAATGGTCATGCACATATAAATGAATATATTTTAAATTAATTATTTTTCACAAAAAGGAATGTTTATTTTCCTAGCTCATCTCCTCTCCTTTTTCTCTAACTTACTTATGCTCCCTAGAAACAAGAAAATAACAAATTGTCCTTTTTGCCATGCCACGGAATGATTAGGAACAGTGATCATTTTGTCACTGTTGATAAAAAAAATTAGCAGACTGCCACGCTAACAATAAATTTTATCAAAATACCACGTGTCATAATTCGCTACACTGTGTAGCAAAATATGTTTGCAAATAATGGGCTACACAGTGTAGCAAAATATGCCACGTCAGAACCAAAAATGTCACGTGTCGAACAGGGAGAATTTTGCTACACAATGTAGCAAAATTCTCCCTGTTTGACACGTGACTTTTTTGGTTCTGTGCATTCTGACGGGGCATATTTCGCTACACTGTGTAGCGAATTATTTGCACACATATGTGTAACGAAATATGCCACGTGATATTTTGATAAAATTTACTGTTAGCATGACAGTCTGATAATTTTTTTTTTTGCCAGAGTGACAATTTGATAACTGTTTCGAATGATTATACGTCTGTGACGAAAGCCACTTCAGAACTCAGTCACGCTAACCAATCCCTGTTCCCTACTACTAGTATATCTGTGCTAAACGAGAAAAGGCCCACGCCCGTATTATGCACGGTCATACTTATACGTGTCACAGCAACACGAAACGCACCACGAATTTATCTCTCTCTTTATGGACCACTATGCCTATAACACGTGGCCTTTCTATAGAACCCACCCACCAACCTCATTCCCAGTTTAAGTTTAACGACCATAATAATTCCACTTATCAGCTTTTTTTTATTTACAGAGAAATTGTAATAAATATTAAGATTATTTGAGCATGAATTAATTTCCGTGAGAAAAAAATTTTATGCTACATACACAATATGAGTGAGGTCCAAAAAAAATCAAAATAAAATTTATGTATTGTGAATGTAACATAAAAAATTATTTTCATAATATATAGGATTTATCATTTATTATTTAATATGACAATAAAAAATTTCTTACACACAACATTTTGTGGCACCCGCAACAACAACAACAAAAAAAACTTCGACACGCAAAACGAATCTCTATAACATAATAGAATCACTTTTTCTACAACATAACTCTTATAAAACTCATATATCACTTACATATCTTGTATTGTCCACTTATATTGATTATATATTTTTATATATGTATAAAAAATAAAATTATATTTTTCATTTGAAAGATTAATTTCTATATATATATATATAATAAAAACCGCATTTTAGCAGAAATTATAGAATGAAGAAAAAAAATTGGAAGGAGGTTTACCTGAGAGCCACCGTGGCCGTCGTAAACGCCGAAGTAATGAACGGGGGAGATCTCGACGGAAGATCTGGAGCCGGGAGCCGTACAACCGCCGACGTGATCGCATGTCTGTGACATGAATCCTGGAATAACGGCAACGGCGTCTTCGTTTTCTCTCCGCCTCCCAATCACCGAAGTGTGTCCCCAACTCACTCCCTTGTTATTCCTTCCGACGCACTTCTCTCTCACCGCCACTTCCGCAAACTCAGCCGGCAAAGAGCGGTAAAGCAACGGAGGAGAAAGAATCGCCTCGTTCACTGCGAGGGCCAGAATCTCGCCGGAGCCGCTGCTGATAGAGGAATTGTCGCCGGAGCTGTTGATGTTCCGGAAATCCTCAGTGCTGAATATTGAAGAAATGCCTGAACCAGAACTAATGGAAGCGAAGTCGGATTCGAGGACTTGCTCATCGTCCAAAGGTTCCATGACGCAGCAGTAGTTGAGAGAGAGAGAGAGTTGAGAGAAGGGAAGAGAAAGAAAGATAAAAAGGAGAAGAAAGGACAGGTAAGGAAATGACACGTGTTATAAGTTTTGTTGATGGCACACGCATCTGTTGTGAATTTGTGAGTTGAGTTGGGGAAAGCAAAGGAGACACGAGCTTTTTGTAGTCGCACTCACCTCCCTTATTCTGCGACTCCACCTGTCCCCTTTTTAATCTCCCTTCAACACGCTTCTCTTGCGGTTTCGCTCGGGACTCTTGGTTATTTATCACCGGCCCATTTTCATTCTCTACTTCACACAACCCTGCACTCGCTTCTAATATATTCCAATACCCAACAGTTTTCTAATCCTATGTTCTGTGATTGGACCGTCCTCAAAGTGCGACATTACATTAGTCCGTACTGAATAGTTGCCTCTCTCTGTGTGAGGAAGGTACGTAAGCAACGGTCCTCTGTCTTTTATTACAAAAAAGGCCAGGTGGCATGTCTATTGCTTCATGGGCCTACTCGTTTGGTAAAATTTGACGTGTGAATTAGACCAAGTTAATGACAAAAAAAAAAAAAAAAATTATTTTGCCAATTTTACAATTCAACAAAAATGTCTCAGTTTTTTATAAGTCAAGAAAAAAAAGTACGAGGGAAGATAATTTTGATGCGATTTGACAGCGACAAAGAACTGGTCATTCTTAGATACAACATACAGGTGTGCACTGTGATGAAATATAATCCATCGCGGTAAAGACTTTAACAGAAAACACAAACAATGAAACAACACGTCGAGAGTTCTTCCAGAAGGGAGAAAGATTAGACGGCCTAAAACTCTAAGTAGTTGATGAATTTTCTTGTTATTATGGAATGTCTATCACATTCATTATAGTTCCTAAAAAATAATTACAATAGCATACGGGGAGTAATACGTGTCACGTGTGGGCCCGCGTGTGAAGTGTTTTAAGGAGGAAAGTGTCGATTAACACGAGGGTGTATGTGTGTAGTGGATTTGTTTAATTATGGTTTTGAATTTGAAGGGTGTGGACATGTAAGTGGATGATTGATTGGTGCTTTCCACGGGTCTTGGGGTGTGAAATTAACCCCCCGCCCCCCGGAGACAAGGACCTCGAAGCCAGAGATTCCCTTCCCATCCTTCACTCCAATGACGGGTACGGTTATCATTCCCCTTTAGAAATAATTGCTGCTAATTCTAAATTTCTAATCGTGGGAGGACGCATAGATGTTGGATCTATGTGTTGGCAACTATTGGCATGCCTTTTCCATTGACAATTATGTTTCAATTTTACTTTAAATCACTTTTACACTAATTAATTCTCATTTATAACCAATATTTTCTACCAAATTGTCAACAGACGCCGCAGTAATTTATCTATAAGGCTCGATGTAATTATAAGAGAATTATGTTATTAGATAAAAGAATATTTCAATTTTAGAAAGAAAAAAAAAGTAATTCCTCCAATAACTTCTTAGTTATAACCAGTTGTAATAACATCATGTAGATTAGTGTTCTGATAAATAAATATTTTAAAAAATAAGATCAATTGGCCACTACTTATTTATTCACGTGATTTTATTCAAAAATTGTTTAAAAATTGTTTTTTAATTTTTATAATTTGGTGTCGGACTGTTTATTAAGATCAATGACACATATAAATTTAATATAAAATCAATTCAATCTAAAAACTTAAATTGTGAAGTGATCGACCTTCAATTTTTTATATTATATCTTTCTTTCTTTTTTGGTATAATATATTATATCTTTTTAATACATTTATGTTGTACAAATTTATTTATTTTTTAATCTTGCACAGATTAATTTTACTAGAAAATAGGAATGATAATGATCAAACTTGTAACCCAATGATCATAGAAACTTTAATTTCATGTAAATAATTGTTTCAACTCAAAAGCTTAAGTTAGTAAATGAAGACTTATCAATCATTTTATATTTATCGAATATTTAATAATATAATATTATTTATAATCAAAGGGAAAGATATACTTACCACCAAAAAAAGTTTATATCAATATGTAAAATTATAAAATATTCATGATTTTCTAAACTTGTAAATTACCTTTCAATTTCGTTTTTATAAAAAATGTAAAAGATTGTTGTCGATTGGAAACCAATTGAATTTTTTTTTACTCAATAACTAATTATATTTTTTTAGGGAGTTATTGTTTTGATGATTTCCTGATTTACATGATTTGCTCAATCGGTCCTTTTTGTTCTTTATATTAATCTCACATCTGCTGGCTTAAAAAAAGTTTTAGAAAATCAATGTAATTTGTTCAATGTGTTTTAACTCATTCTAGCTTGTAATTTACTCGTCATTATAAAGAAATCGATCTAGTTAATTATAATAGCGTATACTGTACAAAATGATGCCTATCTGTTTAATTTTAAAAAGTAAAGCGATTATATATATATATATATATATATATATATGGTAAATTTGGTGTATTTAATTAAACAATGACGTAAATTTTTTTGTTAAAAAGAAATTAATAACATTATTTTTTGACATCTGATTTTAAAGTGGTGTGAAACTAACTCTTAATGTAAAGAGCTCAATGTTAAGTTGTTGTACTTCAGCCAACAAATTCAAGGGCTAAATGTAAAATCAAGTGATTTTTTATTTTTATTTTATAAATTACATTATCTTTTACAAAAGACAATTCTGTTTGGGATGAATTTAAAATTAAGACTTTAAATCGCAAAGGTGGTACTGGGGAAGATCTAACTCGTACTTTCATTCTATACCTGCTTAACTTTCATGCGTCAACTGAACTACCATCATTTGGTAGTGTTGTTTTCTAATAGTGCTTGAAACTTCTGTGTCAAATCATTCATATTATCTAACTCCTAAAAAAATAGTTATAAATAAATATATTATTATACAGTCACTTTATGCCAAACAGATTTAGATCTTTTAAAATAAAAGTTATATTTTTAAAAATGAAATATAAAACTGATAACTGTTGAGGATAAATTAAAGATTTAAGATTTTTTAAAATTCAAATATTTGTACAACTAATCCAAGATTTCGTCTCGTTAATTTTATTATTTACCGCTTAAATTTTACTCTCTGATGAACTACATCCATCGCTTTTAAAAGATCCAAATCCATATTTTAAATTAATGGCCAGATTCTAAATCAAATGCAAGGGGTAAAAATGTCCTATTGGTTTAAGAACCAGCCATAATAAGTTTGATTTCTTCGAAGTTTCTTTTGCTGTGTTAAGCAGTTACAAAAGTGTGACTTAAAGGTTGGGTAGATTCAGCGGATCAAAAACTTGATTTGGTTAATCATGAGTCATCAGATTAATAGTTAATTAATCGGGTATTAGTTGTAAATCAACTCGCATGATTACCAGAAAATAAATTATTAAAATTAAGGATTTATTATTTATCTTTTTAAATGATATACAATTGTGTACTTTTAACTTAAAGAAAAAGATTATAACAAAAATCATAAGAGAGAAAGTAAATATTTTTTTTAATTTAAATAAACACATTAGTTTTAATTAAAATAACTTCCCTTTAGAACGACACACATTCTTTCCTAAAATTAAAGAACAAAAGTTGCCTCATTCATTTTGCTTATTATGACATAACTTTTGCCACAACTTTGGACACTTCACACTTTTGGATATATATATATGAGATAGGATATTGTGACACCCAAGTTATGTTACACCCGTGTGACACCCAGTCAATCTCACCGTTAGATCGCTTATGTTGATCTAACAGTTATATTTATTTCCATCTTTGTATGGTCATGATTTCCCAAATTTAAAGTGAAAGCATTAAATATGGGAAATTATAACCATACAAAGGTAGAAATAAATATTAAATATTAAATTTGGGAAATCATGACCATACAAAGATGGAAATAAATATAACCGTTGGATCAACATAAACGATCTAACGGTGAGATTGACTGGGTGTCACATGGGTGTAACATAACTTGGGTGTCACAATATCCTATCCATATATATATATATATATATATATATATATATATATATATATATATATATATATATATATATATATATATATATATATATATATATAATGGGTTTATTTTTTCTAAAGTTACTTTAGATAAACTCTAATGTTCATCGAAACGACGTCGTTTTGGGACGGAAATCATAGTATTTTTGTAATTTTAATTTATTTCAGGGTTATAATGGTCTTTATCATTCTAATTTTTTAATTTTTCAACCCAAAACAACGTCATTTCGATGAACATTAGACAAAGTTGTCTAAAGTAACATTAGATACTTTTTTCCCATATATAATATATGTTATGGAATATATCAATATCCTAATTACCCACCAAAAGATCTCTCAAAGGATAATTATCCAATTATCTTAACAGTACAAAACAATAAAGCCAATCGGGATAAAGATTCTATCCCAACAGAAGAGGAGTTGAATCCTACCACAACTGGGAGATCTACACAAATCTAAGAGGTAACTCTTATAAATAAGAGGCTAAGACCCCTGTACACACTTCTGAACTCATTTACTACTTCTCCCCACGCTGTGCACACACACACGTCTCGGCTATAAGTTTATTGCTTGTGCGCAGTGATTGGGATATTGGCTATAAGCCAACCAAGATACCTATCTCTAGGGTATCTCTGAGTGCATACTATACGGTATAACAATACGGTTCTCTAGGATTGAACATTGGCGCCGTCTGTGGGGATCGGCAAATTTCCACTCTCATCAACGGTGAACACGCGCGGCATAGCACGAAGCCACAGATTGCAGGCTACCTCGCGTATCCTGAAATTGCTAAAACCACATATATATGAGGAGACAAACCTTACCGCAAAAAAGGCTTTTGATCCTCCGAGAGACTCTAGAATGGAGCTCTAGATCCAAACAGATGATGATTTGACAAAGATTCTTGTCGTCGCAATTCTTGATGGAGCAAGTGAAGACCTGGAAGAGGTCATTAAATTATAAGGAAAAAGCTTCAATCAAAAAGAAGGCTTTAAATTTAAAAGCTCGGCATCAGCCTTAAGCTTCAACCCAACCCAGTTAAAGGCTTCAAATTTATCAGCTCAGGCCTTGAGCTCAGCCCAATAAAGGGCTTCAAGTTTAAAAGATCGGCATCAGCCATGAGCTTCAACTCAGCCCAGTTAAGAGCTTTAAATTTATTAGCTCGGCCTCGACATTGAGCTCCAACT